AATCCTTAAACACAATTTACCATCACAACCCTTAAACACAATCTACCATCACAATCCTTAAACATAATCTACCATCACAATCCTTAAACACAATCTACCATCACAACCCTTAACCCTTAAACCTTAAACCTTAACCCATTAAACACAATCCACCATCACAACCCTTCATCCTTAAACACATATATGAAATCACGTCAAAGTGATAATATTTTCGTATATGTTCAAAGTGACTGTTCATTTCAGGAGATAAATGGTTCCTTAGAGTATATGTCGTTAAGATCCCCCTATACGTATATTACCTTTGCCTTTGCCAATAACACATTCTGGTTTGGTTAAACGTGTTAAGAAAAAGTTAAGTTTACGTACTCCTTTCATGTTATTTTATAAAAATATTTCCTTACAAAAATTATATGAGTTAAGCGACGACGATGATGTGATGATGTTCTATAACATTGTTCATCAAAGTTTACTGGAAATGTTGACACTCTTTGTTGTCGATGATGGTGGTTATGGTGAAAATTCATCAATTGTCGTAATCCATCATAGTTTACCCGACGGTAGTGGTGCAAACCCATATGGTCCAAACACTTTTTACCCCAGTGGTAGTAGTGGAAATCCAAACACTTTGTTCCCCGGTGGTGTTGGTGGAAATTCATATTTTGAACCAAAAATTCTTGTTGATCATGACAGTTATTTGGTTCAATATTTGAACCAGTCTTTGAACCAATACCTGATCTAGTATCCGTACCAGTCTTTGGAACAGTCAAAAAGTTTGTGGGAGGTAGATATGGATGAAGAAGTTTCTGTTGCAGCAGAAATTTTGAAGATACCCGAAGACGATAACTTGTTGGAACAAAAATGTTGTATTCAAGTCTCGATGCTAAAATGTCATAATATGCTTTGTAATGTAGTTTCCTTTTATAGTTTGTAAAGGTAGTTGACCTTTCCTGTTTTAGTAGTTGCTATAAATAACAACTTGTTTTGTTAGTTGGTAGTGGGCAGTTAGTGATTTGATAGAATTCATACGCATCAAACACTTTGTAATCATCAAGAACATTGTACACATCAAGTTCATCAGTGGAAGTTTGCCGACACATTGAAATATATTGTTCTTGATCACTCTTGTATGAATTGTTAGTTTAAGACTTGAATCTGGGATCACATAACTCAAATGCTAAAAAATCCATCTGGTAAGGAATAGTTTTTGGGGTATGCCCGAACCAACACCTTGACTAGACCCTATTGTCAAACCAAGACATGGAAACATTTCTCACCATCCTACATCCCATGTAAAAGTTCTCGAAACCTTTGACTCGAAGGAAGCTGTTGGTCCCAAAGGGTCTACAAGAATACTAA